TGGTGACGCGCTGGAGCTGGCCGATGAGTCGGATGAAGACGAGTCAGACGGTGGGGAGGACAGATCGGGTGCAGGGGGGTCAGCGGGAGGGACGACCTGGTCGTCATCATCACTGAAATTAGGAAGAGGAGCGCCGGGTGCCAGGAGCTGTGATGGGGCTGATGGTTCAGTGTAAAACATGATGTTCTCGAAGAAGACAACTGAACTCGCAATGCGCATACGTTGGGACAATGGATCAAAACATAAATAGCCCTTGTGAATATCATTATACCCAAGAAACACACAACGAGCAGTTTTGGAAGACAACTTAGTACGTTCGCGTTTTGGAAGTAGAACAAAACATAGACAACCAAAAACACGAAGTCGAGAGTAACTAGGATGACGAGAGTAAAGAGCAAAAAATGGACTAGTATTCATCAAAACTGGTGTGACCTGATAATTTATTAGACGAACGGCAGTAGCAACAGCTTCATGCCAGAATTTATCAGGGACACGAGAAGCTAGCAACATAGCTCTAGTGAGTTCCATCACATGGCGATTTTTACGCTCTACTAGTCCATTTTGCTGCGATACCCCAGGACAGGATTGCTGAGTTAAGACACCAAGAGACCGATACACATCATAAAAAGGAAAAGAGCTAAATTCCCCACCAGGATCGGAGCGAATAATTTTCACAGGGCGACCAAACTGAGTGTGAATCATTTTCAAAAAATCGGTGGCCACGGCTTTAAGATCAGATTTAAGACGAAGAAAATAAACCCAGGTAAACCGAGTGGCATGATCTATGAACAGGGCAAAATATCGAAAGCCACGGCGTGAGAGTGCTGGAGAAGGGCCCCAGAGATCAGTATGAAAGAGATGAAAGGGTTCCGAAATGATGGTGGTACTGGGAGGATGAGATGAACTAATGGTTTTAGCTTCCACACAGCTTGTACAAGAATGTTTGGACAAAGAACGAATATCACATTTATAAAGTAATGACTGACGAAAGATTTGTTCAAGACGACCAGAATGAGGATGACCAAGACGGGAGTGCCAAAGATCCCAAACATCATTATTCGACATACTCGAAAAACAAACAGAAGATGATGGTTCCAAAGGTAAAGACAAAAATTTCGACGGACTACTGACAAGCCTATTAGAAGGACTACCGACAAGCCTGTTAGAAGGACTACTGACAGTCGATGAGGGATGGCACCCGTGTAGCTCTTCCAAATGAAAAAGTCGTCCCCGCTTACTCCCTTTTTCGATCTGCCTCCCCGTCTTCAAATCCTGTACAAGACATCCAGTTGGTCCAAACAACACATAACAGCCTTGCTCAGTAAGCTGACCCACAGATACTAAATTAGGAACCAAATTGGGAACATGAAGGGTATTAGGTAAAGATAAATTCTCATTAGTCATCATGCCCGATCCCTGTACCTTCAATTTCCCACCATTTGCAACACTCAAAGACATGTCATCAACAGGAACGAGATTCGTTAAACTAGCAGATTGAGATGTCATATGGTTGAAACAAGCTGAATCAAGTAACCACGGAGAATTATTACCTGAACCGTGGAGGGTTGCAAAAGCGGTACTGATGGCAGTGGGTAAAGATTTCTGGAGAGCAGCATTCACTAGTTGCTCGACAGTGGCAGCAGTGATTGCCCCGCCACCTGTACCGCCGCCATTGTCCACGAGCACGGCTGAGTGAGCTGACCGATCAGCTGGCTGTCGCCACTGTTGCTCCAGGCGAGGGCCATTGCCGCGCGAGGAGCGCTCAAGGAATGAAGAGGCGCGGCCTCCCCCAGCACCAGTCACATTCCCAGAAGCATTGCGCGCCTCATTCCGTTGCCGAGTGCGGCATTCTGAAATTATGTGGCCAGATCGCTTACAGTATATGCAATTATTCCATTGTTTACAAAGCTTCTTTGGATGGCCTTTCTCATGAAAAAAATGGCACTCAATCTCAGATGACATACCACGGTTTTGGAATTGCGGACGATGGACCGCAAAAGCTGCCGATTCTTGAGAAGCAGCCGCAAAAACAAATTCACTTTCATGAGGGTGCACATCAAGTTGCGCCTGCGTTCGGAGGCGGGTTTCTTCTCGGACGAGAAGAGGAATGATACCATCAAATTTGAGGTCCTCCTTATTCAGCAAGGTGGACCGAACAGCTTCAAATTCAGGCCTAAGCCTCATTAAAAACGTCAGCAGTCGATTTTGTTGCCGCTCGAGAATGGCGTCGGCCGAAGCAGGTTGGGGACGAAGCGCGGCCTGCACGATGTCTTGTTCAGTCCAGAGTTCTTGCGCGAGGTTGAAGTATTCAGTGATGGAGCGATCTCCTTGCTCCAGTCGAGCCAAGGAGAGTTGAATTTCAAATTGGCGGGCTGGATTGACAGTAGAATAGGTGGCGGTCAGATGGCGCCACATCTGATGAGCAGTAGGGAACAGGCGGAGACTTAAATAGGTTGAGGAATCAACCGATCCCAAGAGGAAGTGTCGGACACGTGCATCGCATTGCTTCCAGTCAGAGAGGTCTTTTGCCGGAGCTGTGGCGGCCGGAGATGGAGCTGTTCCATCGAGAATACCCAGTAAACCTTTGCCTTCAATGAACACCTTGAATTGAAATTCCCAGAGTGCGAAATTGGTGGATGTCAAACGAACCGAGGGGCGATCAGATTCCATTGCTTGAAGCTCTGATACCATGATAATCAATCAGAAATAACGAAATTGAAAGAACATGAACACCAAGATTTACGTGGTATCCCTGGAGAATCCAGGACTAATCCACGGAAGAGGTAAAACTCTTCAGCTACTAGTGAGATTATACGTGTATGTTGTGTGTCCCCAACCTACAGCTCCTATCAACATATATACAACCCTACCGAGGGCAACTCCCCAAACCCTAAGAGTCTACACGTCCCCTTGCATGGGCTTCATGGGGTTGGCGTACAAATGGACAAGTCCAACAGCATAATAAGTCCAACTACAAAGCAATACATGGGCTACGTAATTAAAAGACAATTAAATGGGTTTAACTCTGCTAACAGGAAGAACAGAAAGCGCACCAAAGCATCTCCAAAGGCGACCGAGAGTAGTCTGAAGATGACGAACAGGGGGAGCAGGCCCAATTACCCTTCCAATAAGGGAGAGGTCACTGCGCTCAGCGCCTGCAACAACATCATCATCACCAAAAACCACCGGAACCACCGCAGCCATTCTGAGCATGGAGGAGTTAGGGTTCCGAAGAAGTGCAAAGAATGGGACGCACGAAGGAAGTAGAAATTGACTTGGCGAATAGTATCGCACATTCCACCACAGTGGATTTATAGCCACCATCAGTGCCAAAGGCCGTTTCCGGCGGGGCACGATGGCCGATTGGCCGCTATCGGCAAGTCGCACGGCGGCGAGTATCCCGCTCCCACTCTCCACGATAGAGAATACCGAGAGAGAGGGATTTTTTTCCTTGTTTCAACGTTTTCACTCACTGTACTTTGATATAGAGTCATCCCAATTAATTGCTTCTGGTGTTTATTTTTTGAATTTCTTTAACCATGTTACCCACATTGTGTTTACGGTTTGTTAGATTTCGCACACATGAGGAGATCATTTCTTTGTTTATAAGCTAGCATTTGTTCCAAACATACAATGCATCCACATATGTTTTAGAACTTTAAGGACAAATGCCATATTTCACAGGGCGATGAAACAAAGATTGAAGATACAATCAACATGAGCAGCTCTGCAAACAAATCTACATCGAGTGAGGCTACTACTACATCTCCATTGCTAACGATTGTGAAAAAGAAACTATAACTTGCAACAATGCTATGGTACAACCCAAGCTACAACACAAATTATAACAATGGAAGCACTAAGTTCCAAGACGTGAAAAGTATTTAGTCCCCATATGTATTTAGTCCCCATGTTTAGAGTTGCAATAGAATGCTTACATGATCCCCACGCAATGCATTATATTTGAGCAAATATATTGGTGAACTTATGATTTCTTACATATGAAATGTAAATAATTATCTCTTGAAAAACTTTTATAACCTTGAACAACTTTGCCAATTTGTGGTTTTGCGTTTCCAGAATTGACATACAAAAGTAGTTAATTATTTTGGACAGCAAACCACACAAACGCTAACAATCAGTAGCGATGACAACAAAACCCGAACCCACGGGTACCCACCCGACCCAATCCGGTCAACGCGGGTAAAACCCGTGTTGACGGGGTTTGGGCCAGGTTCGGATTTAAACCCGCTACACTATTCACCGGGTCGGGTTGGGTTTGGGTTTAGGTAAACCCGCCCCATGGGTACCCGCTCACACACATATAATTACTTTCTCGGTATATTTAATATTCTAAATAATATATCTTCCTTAAACAACTAATATTCTTTATGTTTGTGGAGACATGTATAATTTGTTCTTTCTAATTGTTTAGAATGAAGTTGATATTATGAATTGGAGAGTGAAGAAACTTAGTTGACGATGAAGAAGCTTTCAATTAATCTTATTGTTTATAGATGTTTATCTTTAATTTTGAACAATTTGTATTGATTATTTGCGGTTTGCTTGTATACTTTAGATTGGTGTTTTTTGTATGAGAAAATTTATGTTAAACTTTTATTTTGAAAGAAACTTGTTATTGTAAATTTTTTACCACAAAAACCCACGGGTACCCATGAACCCGCGGATACCCAGCGGGTTGGGTTGGGTTTGAGTTTTTCAAACCCAACGGGTTTTACCCCGAATTTTTTTGGCGGATAAACCCATGGGTTTGGTTTGACAAAACCCGCCCCAACCCGACTCATTGCCATCCCTAAATCAATCAGGGAGTCTGTGCTCATCCGGAAGGCAAAGAGCTAAAGAACAGTACAACAAACCTACGATAAAAATCAACCCGGCCAAGGGCCGGGCACAGAGCTAGTAATAATATATATATATATCACACAGTTCGAAAACTGATCGTAAAGGCACTTTCAGTATCGATCAATTGGCTCCACTCCCTTTCCCCATTTCCGCGCCAATCCATGGCTCAGATGTGCTCCATCTCGTTCTCCCCGGCTTGTATCTCTTCTCCCGCCTCCGCCTCCGCCTCCGCCTCCTCCTCCTCCTCCGCCTCTGCCGCTCCGTTCTTCCTCCTCTCCTGTTCTCCTCGATTCGACTCTCCGTTGCACCGCCGCGGTTTCCCTGCCCGTGCATCCGTCTCCATGGCTTCCGAATTCTCCCGCGCCGCTTCCTTCGCCGTTGGCGAAAGCTTCCCCGACGATTACGGCGACTGGCTTCCCAAGCGCGATCCGGAGTCTCGCAGGAGAGCTGGCATCTTGCTTCATCCTACTTCCTTGAGAGGACCTCACGGCATTGGAGATCTTGGTCAGGAGGCGTTCCGATTCATCGATTGGCTGAGCGACGCCGGTTGCTCCGTTTGGCAGGTTCGTCAAATTTTCGTTGAATTTGCTAGTCATGAGATGTGAAATGATCAGGAGAACGATTCTGCACCATTGTTTTCTGTAGAATTTTTTTGTCTGCATGGGCGCCGGGATTCCTTTGATACCGCTCCGTTTTAGTTAACTAATTAGGAGTTCGTTATTGCTCATTGATGGAGAAGGTGTTAGATATATCAATGCAGTAAGTAAAGCTAGCAGAATCTGGATGGAAATGTATTAATCAATGTGTCTGTTTTACAGGTTCTCCCGCTAGTTCCACCCGATGATGAAGGATCACCGTACTCGGGCAAGGTGACTGTTTTTCGACTTACAAGCCATAGCTGTTGAACATTTCCAGCGAGAACTATGAAAAGCACCTTTCTGGTGTTGAACTCAGGACATTTCTGTGCATGTTGACTGAATGGTAGAACTGCTGTTCAGGATGCTAATTGTGGTAATACCCTCTTGATTTCTCTTGAAGAACTTGTAAAGGATGGGTTGTTGTCAGAAGATGAGCTTCCGGAACCTATGTGAGGAATTTTAGTATACTTACTTGTGGATTGGGAGATCATTCTGTTGGTGCTTTGTTATCTGACCTCTGTGAACATTTCGCTAATCGTGCAGAGATGCTGAACGTGTAAACTTCTCTGCTGCTTCAGAATTGAAGGATCCATTGATCACCAAGGTAACTCATCAAGAGCAGAATTTCTGTTGAGCTCTCGTTGTCCATAGGCACACAACTCTGGTAGGAGCGGTCTTCAGGTTAATTGAAGAAAAGGTGCCGGATTGCCAAGTTCTGCATCTCTTAAGTTGGACTTGACTATATACTCGAATTTTTGTTAAATCTTATGAGTTAATCTAAACATATCAATAGCAATTATTTCATAGCATGCCTAGTCTTGATTCAACAGCTCATGTTGGACCTTTATTAGGCTGCAGAGAGATTGGTTAAGAGTGACTGTGAACTTAAAAGACTCCTGGATAATTTTCGTAAGGACCCCAGCATATCAAGTAAGGCTTCTATTTGTGGGTATTATCACTCATGCACTGATATGCATTGGTAACTTTGGGTTACGTACTATGTCATTTTGTTTTAACCTATGATTTTGGTAGGGTAATTGGACGCACAGCTTGTAATTTAGATAACTGTTTTTATCTATCCCAAAATGACTTTTACTGCTAATGTTATTTTTTCAAAATAAATTCTGTGGAGTATTTCGTCTTTGGGCCAGTTATCTATCTACTTTTCATGTCGTTTGTTTTCCTTGCTTTAGCTTCTCTTCCCTTATAATGCTGGTGACACGACAATACTCTCTGTTTGCCAAAGATAGATGCTTTAAAAGGTAGCCACTTTTGTAGGTTGGCTTCAAGATGCAGCTTACTTTGCTGCCATTGACAATTCGATGAACACACTGGATTGGTATCAATGGCCTGAACCTTTGAAAAATCGGCACCTTGCTGCTCTGGAAGACATTTATGAACGAGAAAAGGACTTCGTACGGATAAACAGAACTTCTTTTTTTACTTCATTTATCAACAATATCTGAGTTTGTGTACCTGATGCTGGAGGCGTTAACTGTTACCCTATCTTGATTTCTCTGGCTCAGATAGACATATTTATTGCACGGCAGTTCTTATTCCAGAGGCAGTGGAGGAAACTTCGCGCCTATGCGCAGAAGAAGGGAATCAGTATAATGGGAGACATGCCCATTTATGTAGGTTATCACAGTGCTGACGTTTGGGCGAATAAGAAACACTTTTTACTGGTAAGGAACTCTCTGTGAGTGCTTCTGAATTTTCTCTAGATGCATGTTAGCCATACTATTGTTGGTACTGTTTTTTAGTCATCAATTCTACATTGTTTCTTCCAGAACAAGAGTGGCTTTCCTCTTCTCGTTAGTGGTGTGCCACCTGATGCCTTCAGTGAAACTGGTCAATTGTGGGGCAGGTCTGTCCTGAACTCGGTTGTTAAACCAGATTTATGTTCTTTGAATATTCCTTTTCATTTCCAGTTGTATTTTAGCTCTGTCAATGTTAACAGAAAGTGGCTTTCGAGGAACTACCAATGCCTTATATTTTCTGGGTGAATTTCTTTGTTCTGGTGTGTCATTGAGATTTGAAACACACTGTGCCTGCAATTCTAAATGTCAAGGGACTGTGCAGATAAAAAAGAGATTAAATTCTTGAAAGGAATGATGGAACATTAAGACTTGGAAGCATCTTTATCCATAAGTTGCAAGTAGTTAAACATCTATCACAAAATTTAACAGGCATGTGAACTGAATGAATCCAAACTAATGACGATTTTGCGACTCTTTATTTTATAAGTACATTGGCAATGATCTCCAAATGATTGTAATTCTCTTCAAGATGCAATGTGCTATGGACCTCATTTCCCAAGTTACTTCCCACCCAGAAAGTAAAAGATAAGATAATGATTGAGGTAGATCAGTTGGTGGTTCATGTCCATGTCATGTCAGCGACACATTGTGTAATTTATGTTGTATCGTGATAAAGCATACACTTCTTTCTGCTTCTTTTCCTTTACCTGTCTGACTTCTTTGTACTCCAAATGAGTTCTATTTTGTACTGCTATTTGGTGGGCAGTAATATGTAATTATTTCCAGCATTAGATTTCTAAGTCTGTATGGATAGCATTAGCAATGGCCAACTAATACCAGAAATGATTATTGCAAATTGTTTTTTCGTTTTCCTTGTTTGTAGTTTTTCTGATGCTTTCTTGAAGTTATCCTACTTAAGCTGCCAAAGGTTTACTCAACATCTGCTAACTTGTTGACTTGACATATGACCTGAAGCCCTTTATATGACTGGAACTCCATGGAGAATGATGGCTTTTCTTGGTGGGTAAAACGCATACGACGGGCTCAAGATCTATATGATGAATTCAGGATAGATCATTTTAGAGGGTTTGCTGGTTACTGGGCTGTCTCGTCTGGTGAGGATATTTTCAGCTTTTATCTATTTTTGTCTGTGAACTTTGAAATAGACACATCTTACTGATGATCAGTTACATCAATTTGCAGAGGCAAAGATAGCAATGATTGGAAACTGGAAGGTCTGTTTTCTTTCATTCAAGCAATATTAATGTTTCAGTTCACTGTGTTATTGTTGACTTGGCCCTTTCTTTTGATGGCAGTAGGCAGGACCTGGAAAGTCATTGTTTGATGCCATCTCTAGAGCTGTTGGTGATATAAAGATAATAGCTGAAGATTTGGTATGCAATTTTCGGTCTAAGAGACTTAATTTCCCTTTTTTCTTGTTACAGTGAGCACAACCATGGCAAACACTTTACTTCGTAACAATTTTTTAAGCCCTTTTATCATGGAGAGGATTCTAATTCAAAAGATCAGCTACCAATCACTATAATTTTCAGTGATTTTGCAATAATACGAGGATGAGTTTTAGTTTTCACTCCAAAAATTCTTACCATCCTGCCCCAAATTTTCTTAGTTGGGGCAATGACAGAACTTTCTATTCTGCAGTAAAGTAAAGTAATTTTCTTTGTCATTTTTTGTGCATCATGGAAGCAGTTACTGCAATGACCGTTACTCAAGTTTAAGTCTCACGAGACATTTCATCATAAGAAATTTCAGCCTAGCTGCATGTTCTTGATTGAATTTGCACAAAAAAGTCATCTTCTTCATATCTCAGCTTATCGGGATGACTATAATATTCTGATACCTTTCTGTGCAATTGCAGGGAGTAATCACCGAGGATGTAGTTGAGCTCCGAAAATCAATTGGTGCACCTGGAATGGCTGTGCTCCAATTTGGTAAAAAGTTGTCAGCTTGTACTTCAAGCTTTGTGTGTTAAGCATTCACGTTTCTTAATATGCTATGCATTTGCTTGTTTTAGCTTTTGGAAGTGACGCAGAAAACCCGCATCTGCCTCATAACCACGAGACCAATCAAGTTGTGTACACCGGAACTCATGATAATGATACGGTAAAGGAGAGACTTGTACGCGAAGAAACATGTCCTGAAGTTCTGCATAATAACCTCAAGTTAATGAAGCTGAAGTAATGGTGTCCCTCTGCTGATAATTTTCATCTTTCTTTATAACTGCAACAGATTCAAGGCTGGTGGGATGTTCTGCAGCAAGAAGAGAAGATGAACGTGAGTCTTTCCGTCCTTGTGAATCACATACACATAGAACTGACATCCAGTGCAATACTGTCAAAAGCGATAATTTATTGCTGTTTGTGGCATTTTATTTATGTAAGGTGTTGAGGTATACTTCAATTACTGAAGAAGATGACATCCCATGGGCACTGATTCGAACTGCACTCTCGTCAGTTGCCCGGACAACAATCATACCAATGCAAGATATTCTTGGGCTGGGGAACTCTGCAAGGATGAACATTCCTGCTACCCAGGTAAAAGCACACTTCTTTCTGATTTTTGCAGTCGAATAGTATGACCTCTGTAGGCAAATCTAATTATATGACAGTTAAGGCTGCTTTTGGTTTTAATATCCTCGTCCCAGATTTGAAAAAAAACAGCCATTTCGTGCAAATCATGAGACTGGCCTAGACGTGGCAAATCCAATCCACTAAAGTGGGTCGAGTTCAATTTTCTTGACTCACATCTGTGTGAATCCAATTCCATTGAGTTGATAGGTTGCCCTGAAATACCTTTCATTAGCTAAATATTTCAGGTCATACACTTAGTACGAAAATGTAGTGGGGTCTTACATATTTGTCATCGAAACTTTCGAAGTCTTGCCTTGATCCGTTTCCAATGTCCTACAAAGTGTCCTAGTCCTCCAAGCTTCACTTGCCTCAATGTAGGTCTGTTTTGTAGTCTTTGGTTGACCTGGCAGCGAACCCGTTAAACCATGAATCATATCCATCTATCACGTAACACTGCGAGGCCTGGTCCCAAAACTAACTTAATGAACGGTGTGGAATCTTAAGCACCCAAGCTCTCCTCCAGTCCATGCCAGCCTCAAGCGTCCGACGCAACCCATTGTCTTACTTTTTGCATATATCCTTACCCTGTTGTTGCTAGCATCTCCTCCAGTCCATAGCAGTCTCTTGCGTCCGACCACTCCATTGTCTTACGTTTTGCATATCCTTAGACTGTTGTTGCTAGCATTTCATTCCTATCCTCATGTATCTAACTAAATTCATCCTGCCCCCTGTTTAATATTTCACAACAGTCTGGAAACTGGAGTTGGAGGATGCCAAGTTCCACGAGTTTTGAACAGCTAGGAGAAGAATCGAAGAGGCTGCATGAGTTGCTTTCATTGTACGGACGCCTGTAAGTTAGGTGTCTATAGTTTATAAACCATGAAAGGCCTTACCACTGGCCAGTATGTTATTAGTTCCTGTAATACAATTTCTCTCTTCACAATGATTCTTTACATTTCAAATAAACCCCATTTTGGCAGATCAAATGTAATGAGAGTTACACAAATTCGCAATAAAGTAAACTCTAAGTCTTCTTCTATATGCCACTTCCCTTCATTATGGTTCTCCATTTCATTTCCGCGCATTTTTACACAATCGAAAAAGAACTGCTGGAGATATTAGGCAGCAGCTGCTTGCTCGATGGCAGTGATGCATTCTAGTACGGATGCCTTGTTCGACATGGCCTTCATTAGCGCTTCGTGCAGCGACCTGTTGTTCTTCAGAAGAGATGCAGCAAATAGGGCCTGCGTTTAACATAGGTATTCTCGTCATTCCTTGCACTTGCAGGCAAACATACAGTTGGTGTAAGAATTAGCCGCACGAAAAAGAAAGAGGGGGAAAAAAGATTGCTTACTGCCCATCTGGTGAGATTTTGTTGCTGATCTTTGCTCAGATTTGGCTTAGTCCTGTTTAAGAACCTCTACAGGCCAAAATAGATAAGGGTAAAATATCAGCATTCAAATGTTGAATCTTAAATTGTTATTGCAAGTGTTCAGCCGACTGCCATAGTAGCATTGTCCTTGGTAAAACCGCTGTACTCATTGCCACAACTGGCACTGTGAATTTGAATATACCTGAAGGCTGATAAGGTCGGCTGACTGACCGATCACTTTGTCATACTGCAGACCTTCTGCAGCCAGTCCAGCCATTGCAACAACTGCCAACCTGAGAACCGAAGAATGCAGTTGGCTCGACCTCATAATAGTAGAACATACGGAGTAATGAATGAGTTACCAGAGAATTACCTGTCAAGTTGTTTCGAATCAAGCTGGCCGCTATAGATCAACTTCTCCAGCTTCTCGTCGATGAGATTGACATGCTCTTTCCCGATATCCAGCGAGTAACCCAGGATTGGAAGCCCAATCAAGTACGCAACTGAAACAAACAAAGAAGCAACCCGCCAAGGCGTGAGGATCACGACCCAGTGGGGCAGATTGTTTGAACAAAAAGGTTTGGAGAGTACCTAGGAAGTGAGCAGCTTCATGTCTAGTTAACCTGTCCTGGTAATCCGGGAAGAATGAGGAAAAGCCGTTAATGGCGACCTGAAGCAGCCTACAATGGACTGGGTCAGCCTAATTAGTACAGTAAATTTTCTGGTTAGTGATGATCATCTTAGGAACAAACTCAATACTTACCCAGGTGCAGTGCTCCCAATACCCAAAACTACTAGGGAAATGCTCCCGATTAAGTATGGCACGAAGAACCCCCAATCCTGCAAGTAAATATTGGAGTCAGTCAGGGAGTCTGAATTTTCTTTTGGGCAATGAACTAATAATCTTCTGCCACGGAAAGCTGGAGGTTTCCTTACCCCTGGGAGCTGACCGGCAAGGACTCCTAGAAAACTTGTTGTTCCGACCACCGTGATAAGGAAAGCTGCCTGTTTTCAGCAAAGCAGATTAGTCATTTCCGTGTAGCTAGGCTGAAGGAAATGCTTCTCGTATCAGTCAAGGACGACATTCGCGCAAGCTGTAACTGAGCACAAGGTTGATCATGATTTTTGCAGCTTGCAGCCATCATGAAGCCAAATGATAGTTCCAACTTCATAGTGGATTTTCCACAAACTGCAGAGGTGTGGCTCAATGCGTGGTATGTTCATTGTGGCGATTGTTGCCAATGAAATGGGACGAGAAGGCATGTACTTACATCGTTTCTAACACTTGGGATTGCGAGGTTCTCTGCGTTCTTAATCCCAAGCGTGGTGAGCTCCCGAAGAGATGTCTGCCTACGAGGTAAAAAGAGAGCCCCCGGAAGGAAACATTTGTGCCATAAGCAAACAGGGAAATGGAATGCAATAAGCATCCAGGTAGCGGTAGGGATTGAAGTAGCAGGGAAGACTGACCGTCCGACGAGAGACATATGGCTGAGAACTCCATCTCTTTGCCCAGCCAAGTTCGCTCAGCTGATCAAGCGCCTCCTTCACTGCAGTGCTGTCTTTCTGCACCACCCAAACACTAGATTCAGTTCCGGCCAACGATTATCAATGGGGGAAACTCACTGAACTCAGCCATGGTAATATCCTCAGTTAACTTCCTTTTTTTTTTTTTTACATCATTAAGAGCTTCTTCTTCAGAATCCTTATATAACCTTTCTTTCTATGCTCCATAGGTTAAAACATAATGTACGGAACAAGGAAAAGTTTATTTTTCTTCTATTGCAATCGACTGAACATCTAAAGGGCATCGATTCAGAGCCTGATTCGAGGGCAAAGATTAGACGAAGGAGATGGAAGGCCGAATCATCTCACCTTGGAAATGGCGGATTCGAGGGTGCTGAGATTCACGCTGCCGCCGGCTGGTATGGCGGAGGACGAAGCCGATGATGAGGCGGCTGATGCTCGGATGCGGAGCTTGTGAAAGGTGATGGTGGTCGTGGAAAGGGAAGAAGCCATTGTTGTAGCAGAAATTCCCAGCATTTTCTTTTTGAGGATTTGGGGGTTTCTTTGTGGAGAGCTAGCCTAGCTTGGCGATAAGGTTCTCCAGGTTTTGTATTTGGCGCGCGGGTCTGTTTTGTACACGTGTTCCATAATCCGCCCTCTAATTTTTTATTTACTTTTCCTCCATCTTTTATTCGAAAATTACAAAAGAGGTCCCCATAAACAAACATTTACAAGGACGAACTTAGCATGGTGCCACGACTTTGTTTTATCCTAAGCCTTCCCTAAAGATTATTGTTGTTAACAACAATTTGCTACATTGTTTACGACTAAAAGAGAACATTCCACTGGTTTTAGTGGATTTCTCATCTGCGATTTGTAAAACCTAATACGATTTAGAAAAAGACAAAAGTTTGAAAAGAATTAACGATTCGAAGAAGAAGAAAATTGAGAAAAATAAAGAGAACATATGCATAAAGTATGTTACTAATTTTGTATTGAATATTCATAACGAAATTTATGAACCAATACACATTTAAGTGTAAGCGTTAATGGTGTTTAAGGTATCGTTAGGCTTCGACGGCAAAGTCGTTTAATCTCGTTAATAGTTCGATTAACCAATCAACGAAATCCGGAGTGTTAAGGATGAAACTGTAATTATCTTAAATATGCAGTGCCGAGAGCGAGAAGAAAGAAACTATTGGTACTGAAAATTACCCAGTATTGGTTCGTGAATGGTGATTGACAATTGAGAAACCCCAAAATCCAAACCTCTCTAAAACCCTATTTCCAGCGTCTTTCTTCTCCTTCGTCTTCTCTCCAGTCTCGATCGGAAGCGAGGGCTGAAAATGGCAGTGACGAAGCTCCTGCTCTCTCAATCCCGCCGCCATTTCACCGCCAGAGCTCCCTCTCAGTTTCTGCTATCTCAGAGATGGTTCTCCTCCGACTCGGATCCCAATCCAGCTCCACCTCCACCTCCAAATCCGCGAGTTTCACCAGTGCTCGTCCAGCCAGTCTCCTACGCGCCGAAGCCGAAGCAACCGGAGCCGGAGCCCAATTCCGAAGCCGCATCACAGCAGCAGCAGCAGCAGTTCACGAGACGTCCGCGGGAGTTCCCGGCGAGCCCAGAAGCTCGGACGAATTGGACGCGGGAGGAAGCCCGATACGTGAAGGACGCGCCTAACGTCGTGCCTGTTTCATACGCTCCTCGGGTTGCTCCATTGCCGGAGGACAAGCTCGGAGCTGAAGGAGGAGAAGATGGTGGTGATGGCGTGGAGGGGAGTGCTAAGGACGGAGAGGACATGAAGTCCGAGACTCAGCGGATTTTATCGGAGAATAGGGCGATGAGGCGTATAAGGCAGATGATGCCCGAGAAAGAGCTGGAGGTTGTTCCTTTCCCTAGATTGATCGTGCCGGTGAAGAGGACGGAGAAGAGGCCACTTCTGGAATTGATGGATGCCATTCGTCAAGTAAAGGTCTGTGCTTCCGTGCTCTTGGTGCTTGTAAATTGGATATCGCTAAGTTATCCGAAACTTGTTGTTGACTGTTTCTTGCATAATTGGTCAGGCTAATGCCAGGACGACATTTGATGAAACTATTGAAGCGCATGCGAGATTGGGCATTGACAAATCTCGATCAGACCTGGTGGGTGCCGAAATAGATTAGATTGTTCGCATTGCTTCGTGTAGTTAGCCTGTGGAATCGAATGAGCAGATATAGGCCTAGCCTACAGGGAATTAAAAAGAATTCCTAGAAATGTGTATGTTGTGACTAGTAATTGTAGATGAAAGGCCCTTCTGTGTGATTTTTAATGACCTGACTTCTGAACCAAGTTTATGGTTTGAACATATCTCGAGTGAAATCATCTTAGTTGGTGATATTGGCTGTACCTTGAAATTCATATTTATTTGGGAGCAAGGAGTTTTATTCCTTAGATACAGGCAGATGTCCCAATTGACTATCCTGAGTTCTTTTGAATTGATTGTATCTCTTTAACCAACGAGCTGCTAGTTGTATAGGACGTCCCCTGTTGAAAGTGGCTGCCAATAGTTTGCTCAAGTGATGCTGTAATGCTTTCTGTAATCTAGTCTTCTTCGAGTTAATAGTGCTTTGGCTATGCTGACATACTGTTAATCAAACTGTAGATTGTTCGAGGCACCTTAACCTTGCCACATGGGGGAGAGAAGGTAAATGTCGTGAATTGTGCTGCATATGCTGTGACTTTCTATTTGTTTTTGTTTTGGTCAATTTGAGAAATTCTTCCTTCCTCTGTTCCTTATCAGGTTTTGAAAGTAGCATTCTTTGCTGAAGGGGCAGAAGCAGAAGAAGCAAGAGCAGCAGGTGCCGATATTGTTGGAGGAGTCGAACTTATTGAAGAAATTTTGAGTATGTTCACTCTTTTAGATTATACTAACATTGCCTCTCTTTTTTCGCATTTATTGAAGAGAATTCCTATGAACCTTACTATTTTGTCATCTATACAACCACCTGCAAAAATTACACATTTGAAATAGTTTCCACTTTCCACAGGAGAAGCTTGTTAGAAATATTTATTTTAGATGATCAATTCCAGGCTTCAAAATTTGTTATTTGTTTTCATAATCTTATGCCACATTTCTAATTCAAAGCTGACAACATTGACGTGAGCAATGTAGTCAAAATCGCATTTTAAAACTTAAGATTTTACGTTTTTAGGTCACTAAAACGTTTCTGCACAAAATCTTACTTTTTATAACTTATGTAGTTAAAAACTTCGTTTTAATACTTAGAAACTTACGATTTTACGCTTCTAGATCACCAAAACGTTTCTACGTAAAAACTCGTTTTTTACTACATTGGACGCGAGATTTGTTTTGTATTTTTTTTATATATTTAAGTTGCTAGTTAGTTCTTGGGGAACAGTGTCTTGATAATAGTTTGATTGTTTTGTGATCTAAGGTGCCGGCAAGGTTGACTTCGACAAATGCTATACAACTCGTCAGTTGTATCCCCGGGTTGCCAAGGTTTGAGGACATAATAGCCTGTAAACTCCAGGTCACAAACTATTAACAGCCAGCTTAACAGATTTCCCCCCTCTTTTTTCGCCTTTCCTTGATGCAGATAGCAAGGATCCTTAATCGTCATGGCTTGATGCCTGATGCAAAAGTGAGATTATTTTTCCTGGGTTTGATGTTTGAGTATCTCTTGCACTAACTATTCAAGATTTTCTCACTTTTGTACTTATTTTACTTTTTAGCAAGGGACTGTTGTCAGCGATGTAACAAGAGCAGTTAAAGCAGCAAAGCAGAATCAGATAAAGTTTAGAATGGACAAGTCATCCATTGTTCATGTAGGACTTGGAAAGGTATGATGTGGTTAGTAATTATACTTCATTCATGTGGTCTCCAAGACTGGTTTCTGAGCTCATTTTTATCATTTGCAGGCAAGTTTCAGTGAAGAGTCTTTGCGTGAGAATATTGGTGCTTTTATGAATGCACTTCTACAATCAAAGCCTGCTGGTTTGAAGAAAAGTAAGTGTTCTCTGGTATCCGTCTGTTGCAAGTTTAGAAATTAGATTACCTTAAGATTTGTTGCATGTATATTTGAGCATTGTCACATTTAGATCTCTTGATTTGATGATCATTAAGTACAGTGTGCTTTGTGTTCAAAATGCTCGTGAACAGTTACTTTTCTGGCTAATTTCCTCATGTTGATGAAGTAGTGTACGGTGCTTTGCAAATTAGTTAACGTGGGGCTAAAAAACGTGTTATCTAGTTAACTATTTTGTGGAGAGGAGAAAGCTGTCTTGAATGTTTGGCCACACGAGTTGGAAGTATTTGTTCAAGAGTCTTACCACCTACTACGGTTTTATAATGGTTATCTCACTTGACATTGAATATGATGCATAAATATTGCTGTGTCTGACCTTGCAAATTTTCCAAGCTGTGATAATTTCTGTATCCTGCTCTTGCAGCTTCTAAATATGCTGGATACGTGAACTCCTTCCATATATGTAGCACGGTATGTTTTACAGAACCCTTTTCTTGTTTATTGCGTACTAAGAGCTTCTATGCAAGTACTCCCACCTTTCTGGCATGTGTGCTAACAAAAACTCAAAATATTTTGTTCTCTGTTTCCGTATGTCTATATGAAGACATACTTCTTCCTCTGTTACTTAACTCTCAATTAATAGGTTGCTCTATGCATGAAATTCTTTCCCACATCAATCGATAAAAACAACGGAAATAGATATTGAATGGTTTCTAATTTGTGAACACCGAAAGGTGTTGGGAAAATCAATCGTATTGATGACTGGTGCAACCTTCAATACCGTTAATTATAATCAAGTCGCCAACTAAACCTTTTCTAGCCTACTGGAAGCTTGTTACAGTAGGTCAGTATGAACTAGTGAAATGCTTCTTGATTGAGATCTATAGTCGGACATGGAACTCTTTGGGAGAGTAAGTAGTGCGATTTTTCTACATCTTTTCTATAGAGTCGGCTCATTGAACACTTGAACTAGAATAGATAAGCAATAAACGGAACTTGCATAATGTGGAACTGCTTCCGGAACATCAGAACAGTTGATTCTCGAAGCAATAATCCTGTTTCGTTTCATGAATGCAGATGGGAGAAGGATTTCCTATTTCAATACAGTCTTTGTCCAAAGCTGTAGACCATTACAACAAAGTTCAGCTCAAGTCGTAATGGTACTTCTACCTTCCCAGCCGCTGATGTCCCTCATTCTGCATGTTACACCGAGAATATCCAGCAGCGTCTTATCTTTTTGTGGTTTAATTCTTCAGGTATGCAGTCGAGCTCCCAAGACCGAAAATGTTACGCCACTTTCTCTTACTAGCTACTACCTCTTCTAGCAAAAATGTGAGTTAAATATGCCTCGAGTGACCGTCTTTCCGCAAGATTACAAAACTAGAAGATGGGATACTGGAGATGCTGCTGCTCTCAGATAATCTGTTGTGATGGAAAGCTTTCCATGTTATCTATGCATTGCCGATAGGGTTTCACCAGCACTTAGAGATTCTTTTTTTCAAGTGTATTCAGGACTATAGGTGAAGAACATTTTTGATTACATGAGTCAGTCGCAATCCATTTGGCTGGCGTTGCGCGCGATGGCGTAGAGAGCATTGTTTAAGGTAATCTGGTAATGAAGGTATGAAGCAATAAGACTAGTGAGAAATTGATTATTACACTCAGCTCCCAGTTCTGTGCACCTACAGTACTCAAATTGAACTGTATGATATACATCACTTATTATATAAGTACCTAACCTAGCTAACCCTTGCTTAGCCTCAAGAAGGTAGATGTCTCTTTTTCATCTATACCGTTATGTTTGCTTTTTAAGCTAACGGAGGACAACATTAATGGCACAGAATGTGACCCGCTCAGCTGAGTTATTGTAAATTGCTGCATCGATAAAGACTTCAGCCAGCCCCCCATTAAATAGATGTGTGAATTGATTACTGATTACTCGCATCAATAACCATATAGGAGAGTGAGTTAATTGTATTTCCTGGAGAGCAAAAAAACCGACAGGATAAGCAGTCTCTGATCAGTTCAGTCCCTATCCACTACTTTTATGGTTCAGATTATTGAACCACTTGACCAAAGTAAGAAGTTCAGGCTGCAACAGGCGACGTGGTGGTGTTGGATCATATGGATGTGGGTATGTCGACTCTTCACCGTGATCTATAATGCAATGAAAGGCCACATTGTTAATCGGGTTCGGGTGGTTAATCTGTGGTTCGGTCCACCGGTAAATAACTCAAAAACCGCAATCATTGAGTGAATTGTGTATCGGTTTATTTCCTGCATGCACTTATTTTCGGGGTGGGTGCGTGGGTTGGTTGAGGGTCTGATCCGCACTATATTTTCACACGAAAAAGAGTCGTATCTTCTTTATACTATTGAATAGTCATCGTATTTGCTAATTACACTACACACTGACCACCGACTTCTAAAAATGGAGAGTGTATCTTCGTACTAATGGTCTGGAGATACCATCTGGTGTGAGTGAGGTGAGATGATGGTTGAGATGAGCCATGAGGGGTTGGTTACTTGGTTTTCTATTTTGGGCACTCGCAGTTATTATCAAAAAATGCCACAAAGACTTGGCTAGTAAGTAATTTGCTCCCGTTAGGCGTAGTTAATGGACTGATGTAGCTAGCTGCTGCTGCTGCTGCTGCGATAGGAATTCTGTCATGATAGGCATTGGTGCGGGGGGAAGGGACAGAAGTGTTAACTACAGAGAAAGTGCTGGCATGGCGTGCAGCCTTTGGGCAATGGGCAGTCAGTCATAACTCGTATGAGTCTTTCCTTTTCGCCGTTGTTCAATTCAATTCACCATAACTCTAGTACAGATCCAGAGAGAGAGAGAGCCGTTTTCAGGTGTGTGTTTCGAAATCCCAGTCGGAGTCGAGTGGTAAGTAGGGCTGTAAATGAGTCAACCTGCTCGTAAGCGGTTCGAGAAAAATCGCTCGAAACCTGACTCGTTTACTAATAAGGCAACCTTGAGCTAAGCCTTGTTTATCTTGTGAAGCTCGCGAGCTAGCTTGACTCGTTAGCTTGTTGAGCTCAACTCGTGAGCTGACTCGTTTAGAGCTCACGAGATTTCTCAATATTGTAGGTAGGTAGGTAGAGAGTCAACTTGATTACCGACTTATGGTCCAATCAGTATATATGTTTTGAGTCGGATTTTTGATAATTCATAGGATGGTTAAATTATATATCTCACTCTATATAAAGCTCAACACAGTGAGTACGTGAGCAATGAAATGTCTTATTTTTAATTTTAAAACAGAAAATGTGCAACATAGATTGTTTCGTATCTATGAAATAACATGACTATTTTTTTCCCCATCGTGACATCAAATACGAGACACTAGTTTAGTAAACAAGTCTAGTTCAAGCATGTGATGATTTCGTACTCGACTCGTTTGCCAAATTCAAGCTAACATAAAAACTCGATTTGACTTGACTCATTTGCCGCTCTAAATAGTAAGCGGGAGTGTCATTTAAAGAACCCTAATTAATGAACCCACCACCACCGGCAGCTGGCTGTAGAAAGAGGCAAACCAAAGGAAGGAACACATGCATGTGGACATGCAGGCTGCAGCAGTGAAAAGACGTAAGAGAGGGAGGCACCTGCTGCTGCTGCTGTATTCACCGAGTAAATGTAATTCCCTTTTTTCTTTCTTTTTTGCGTGTTTGTTTTGAAAGCGACCCAGAAATGAAGAAACGAGGGTGCAGCAGAGGCAGAAAGAAACAGTGTTATACTGTGATGCAATATGGGGCAGTTATTACTCGACTCGACTCGTTAGCCATTTGGTTTTGGGCACGCACTTCATCTCTCCTGGCTGGCAGCAAATTAACCCCGACACCGAGAAATATTATGCCCTTTTCCGGAGACACCAGTCGTTGCCCTTTTTTGACCAACAATCAAGGAAAGCCTTGGAATCCACCAAAACCATACTCCCAACATTTTCAACACTACTCTACTTACTACTAGTGCTGCTGTTGCTGCTGCTTTCCAGTCTGCATCATTGATTAATTTTAGATGGGCGACTTTGTTTTATTGAGTGGGAATTGATGTATCCATATCAAACGATGTACTGGGAGAACATGATAATAATTAATAATAAGACGGAAATCGTCAAAATGGTTGATTTAAGATATATAATCATACGCTGTTACTCTCAGCGGTTGTTTGCAATTTGAAGACTTTGGAGTTAAGAAACTCGAGCTTCTAATGAATGTGAAGATTGCAGAGATTTCTGCTCTGTATGTACGATACTTAATCACTTATTCTTTACACGCCTCATCAAACGAAAGTCGACTCATGAGCTTGGAGTTTGCACAGACCTGCCATACCATATGTTTGAAGATAACGGTTGATATTGAGGGTCGTGAAAACTTGAACACGTGATCTCAAGGACAAACAAGCTATGATAATGTGTCATAAACCAACTAGTCCCAATAACTCGAATTGCAACGTCATTTCTATTGACATTATCAATTTATACATTAATTTTAGTAATTTGTTATATTTCGGTATGTAAAAAAAAACCCAAATGTCGGTGTTCAAAAAACCCTCGAAAGACGAATAAACACGATTTATTTGTTCAAAATGCATGTTCATTCTATTCTACAATAAATACAATCCTGAAAATACCAAACCTAACAACCAAATGCCCAATTCCCTTGTTATAAGAATCGAACCGAATAAATGGCTGGACAGGTAAATTTTATTATTATTATTATTGGTGATGACTGGAAACCAATTACATTAGCAGCAGCTGAACAAAAAAAATCCTAGTGGCCAACTAGCTAGCTAGGTCCAGATCTAACGTCCAATATGTTATACGCGTGCATTCGATCCACAGTGCGGGAATTGGAACTTCTGTTTGGATGCGGATGATCAACATCACAAGCAAAGCAAGAGAACACCAAACCAAAACATTACTAGAGAGAGAGAGAGAGAGAGAGCTAGCAATATCACAGTATGAACAGCTAATAGCAATAGTGTAGTCGTATAGCTAGTGACTGAAAGAGACGCAACACAAACTGGGGCAGGCGATTTTAAGAAGTTGGTCTGCTGGCGTGGCCACACTCAGCCCTAGCCGTGGGATTAAAATTTTTTGATAGTGAAACAGTGAGAGCGGGGGGAATCATATATATGGTCAGTTTTGGCAGAGAAATTATTGCGAATTTCACATGGGTTTTGTTTCCCAAAAGACAAAAAAACCAGAGGAGTTGATCTCTTTCTTTCTTCCTTTCAGCAGCAGCTTTTTTACTTGAAGGCCGAGCTGGCTCTTACAGCATTGGTGAAATTAATACACTGGAGAGAGGCACAGGCTATGGATGTGTAGCTTTGCCTTTCTAGCTTTTGCCCTAGCCCTGCGCCTGACAGGAAGATCCAAAGATGATGGACGAGCTGACCACCACTACTTACCACCACCGTACCCTCATTTTCTCATTTTTCCCCCTTTCTAATTAATAATTGCATGGCGTGAGCCAAAAAGAGTAGTGGGTACAGTTACTCCTCTTGATAATGGTTCGAGTGTTTGAGGGTTTGTGAAAATTTTGGTCAAATGCTAATGGTCTTTCTGGTAGTAGCGATGAAGTCAGAAATACGAATGAGGATGAATCATCACATTGAAACGATCTCATCTATGTGATACACGAGTAGGTGTACGTCAACTTGTTGTAGATTCAAATATACGAGATCATTGAGAACCATGTGTACACCGGTGGTGACAGCCAAATGTACGTAGCCACGGACAATCAATTTGATGTTATCGTGATTTGACGATCAATCCTAATATACACGATTTGAGTCATGGTTGCAACATTGGAAGATTTGAGTTCCGGCTACTAATAAATGTTCATCAATAGGGAACAATACTATGCAAAAAAGACGTGCGGGATTCAATCAAGCAAGTTCAGATCAGACTATCCATGTGGTCTTCACGCGGTTTAAAGTCTGAGCTATCGGATTAAAAGATACTTGGATCAGAACGAGTTGAGCATCTTGCCCTTCATGTGTCACGAAATTGATCGGGTTTTGTGCATAGTCGATCGGGTAGCAATAATTCTTCTCTGTGGCTAGGGTTTTTCTTTGGACAAAGATCTTGGGAGGCAGCTAGCTAGTGTGAGCACAGAGATTGCGGTTGGCGATTTGGCGTACGGTATTGTTGTTATTGACTAGACAGTAGACACAAACGTGGGGCTGGAATGGATGGGCAGCTTGTGGGTGGATTGGACTGGTGGTGCAGTAGAGTCTACAGTATACGTACCTCTCACTTTATTTATTTCTAGTTTGTCAAAATTTCACTCAGTTTTAATTTTCTCTGTATTCTTTGCCCTGACATTGTGTACTACGTATGTACATGTACAAGAGGGAGAGTTGTGCAAAGATGAGGGAGAGAAAACATACAGATGTCTCTCTCGTTGGAGAGTGAGCCAGCACTTTGTAGAATTTTTTTAGATGGATATGTTAAGATAAATCAATAAATAGTAGAATATTGAAAAAGAAAAAGTAAAAAAAAAGGAAAGGAAATATATCTTTATGACAATACTATTGTATCTCGAACACAAACACGTTACATTCACATGTCTCCTTGAAGACATACAAGGTATAGTCGGCTCAAGCTACAACTTTCCTTTGATTGCCTGTACTACCTCAAGGACGCTATCCTCCGAGGAGCCCTGACCCATGTTATCTTGTTATGCTGAAATATTTGGAAAGCAAGGAATGAATGCGTGTTCAAAAATGTGTTATTTTCAGAACTTATAAGGAATTAATGGTATGGACGACATGTCCGAGGACTCCCCTCCCCCCTCTCAGGCGGCGGTATATGGTGTCGTGGTCATTAATCACCATTGACAAGTGTGTGATGTGCGAGCTGATACTCTCCTTCATTTTGCTCCGATTGAGGCTGAAACAAAAGCTCTTATGGACTGGATTGTCTCAAATTAGCTCAAGAATATGGTACTGAATGTATTGTCCAGTTTGATTGCCAAGTGTTCTGGTTGACCTTGGTATCAGCCTAAATGTCATGCCTTATATCTACGAGCAACTTGGATAAGATGATTTTGAAGAAGTCCATATGAAAATCAAACTGACAAACATTAGTGACTATCGTCCAAAATGCATCATCTTACATATTCTGATCATGAAATAGTCTTTTCCCCTTTCTATTGATTAATCGGTGCTTGATATGGATGAAAGTGAAGTATACCCCCTCATACTGGGTTAGTCGTTCCTTGCAACAACCACTGCATTAATCGATGTTCATGGAAGAAAATCTCATAAAGAGTCCCAATGCATACATGCTGGGGGAGAAAAACAAGCCAACAGAGTTGTATTTCAAAACAACTTGGAATATTCAAGAATTCCTAAATTCTAAAGAAAGGATTTGAATATGGTTTTCTATGACCCCCGAATCTTTAGCTGGAACCCTAGTTTGGATTCGAAGTTATGTGAATCACTTCCCTCTTCGCCACCGGAAAATGGAGTTTGAATGAATTGAAAAAAAAAAATCGAAACCATAAGTTCATAAGAATTCAAGAAGTTCCACGAGTCTCCGACTAGAATCAAAATCAAAATTCATCCTCATGAGTTACTTGCCCCATCTCAATTACCTCTTCATTACACAAGTCCCTCAGAAAAGGACAACACACATCAATGTGCTTGCTCCTGCCATGGAGTACATGGTTCTTGGACAACTTAATGGCAGAGCTACTGTCACACATAACCTTCTTAGCAGTAGACTCACTGCTACCCCACCCCATGTGCTCAAGTTTTCTCAGCCAACACATTGCGCAACACAATAGGGTCCTGTCACAAACTCAACTTCTATTGTTGACAGGGTGACCACAAGTTGTTTCTTCGAATCCCAAGAGATAGCACACTCAACAATGAAGAACACATAGCCACTAGTGGATTTTTTTATCATCCAAGTCACCTACATAATCACTACCAATAAAGCCAAGAAGCTTTTCATTTCCATCCTTCCTTTTATATAAGATACCATGAGTAACCGTGCTCTTCACGTTCTCAAGACCTTCTTAGTTGTAAACATGTGTTGCCTGGTAGGTGCTTCCATGTATATGCTGTTGAGTGGCAATTCGGCTAACTTGACCAATTGTCCCTAGTTGTCGCACTTTAATTAGTTGTGTGGTGAAATTGTAATTCACCTAGTTAGGCTAACCCTAGTTGTTGACGTTGTAAAGGGTTATGCCATATATATATGTGCTAGGTTAGCACTGTTGTGGCCGTGTGTTGCAGAGAGCAAGAAGCTCATAATAAAAGTTTAGTCGAGAGCTCTTGTGGAGCTCTCCGTGGAGTAGTCTCGTTCACACCGAACGGGGAAACCACGTTAAATTGGTTGTGTTGTTTCTCTTCCGCGCTTTAGTTATTTTACATGGTATCAGAGCTGCTCAGATCGTAGCTTCCGTTAATCAAATATGAGTGACGACGAGAAGAAGGAATCGGAGTCTCTGAAGGGTTCCGGCAGTTCTGGTGATGGTGTTTTTAAGCCAGAAATTGATCCTACCTCGCCGTATTTCATTAGCCAGTCTGATAACCCTAATCAGGTATATGTTGGTGAGCTGTTAAATGAAAACAATTATTCTGATTGGGTACATGACATGACAAACTCGTTGCTAGCTAAAAATAAGCTAGGGTTTGTCGATGGCACGTTCCCGGCGCCCATAGATGCTGCTTCATTGAGGAGTTGGCGCCGCGCTGATGCCATGGTGAAAGGATGGCTGACTTCAGCCATGGATAAGCAGGTTCGTCGAGGAGCTAGGTATGCCCAAACGGCAAGAGAAGTTTGGGTCGATTTGAAAGAGCGTTTTGCTCAAAGTAGTGCACCGCGGGTTTATGAGGTACGTCGTCGCATTGGTCATCTTCCTCAAGAGAAGCTGCCAGTTCCATCGTTTTATACACTGCTGAGAAACTCGTGGGAG